CCGGGCATGCAAGGCGAGGACTTTAACCACTTGCGCCACCGTGCCGGGCCCCAAAATAAATCTTTAAAAAATTATTTTCTTGTTAGAATTTTTTATTTGGGAGAATCAAGATGGCAGAATAGGGTAAGGACACGTTTAAACGGACGGAAAAACATTTAATCAGGATGAAGCAGAGAAGACATATTTCAGGAAATAGGAAAGGACAGAACAACAGCAGAGGGGTACCTGGAGACTGACAGACACAGAAAAGCAGCGGACACAATGGTGTGGTGTTGCAGTGACTGATATTCCAGCAGCATTCAGCTAACTGCGATCTGAACTTCACTGGCAGCCGGAACTCTTCCAGCAACCAGGTGGGAAGGGACTTTCACTGGGAGTTTGGGAGGTGAACCCAGACAAAGAACTGTGCATCCTGCTGGTCCGTTTGATTTGACCAGGAGCAGGGACGGAGCCACCAACAACCTAACTAGATAGGACACCTGGTGTCTCTCTAATCCTGAGACCTGCTCCAACCGGAAGTGGGAGAAAGGTGCAGAGACAACAGTGCAGCCTCAGCACAGTATCACAGGAGGAGAGTGGTGAGCCAAGAACGGGGGCTGTGGAGACCATAGTGGAAATCTGACATAAGAACCCAGACCTGGAACTCTCTGGAGGTTGTGGCACAAGTGGTTGCAAGCAAAAAGTTGTGTACCAACTACAACAAGTAAAATCGCATTGTAGACCTATGGGTGACAGAGCTTAGAAACCTGCCTCAAGGAGAAGACTCTGCTAACCAGTAGTACAATGATCAAGAGCAAAAGAAGAGACAAAGGCACAATGAATATTACCAAAAGCTCCCCTGCAAAGGAGCAAAACTCTATGCCGACCTCAGAGTTAACTGAGGAAGACATCGAGAAAATGGGGAACACAGAATCCATAAGACTCATTTTAAAGATTCTGATCAAAAATGAGAAGCTCATGCAAGAATTCAAAGAATTTAAGGAAGCAATAAAGCAAATCAAGGCTGATATATCAGAAATTAAGAACACAGTAGAGAAAATTACAAGTACAGTGGAGAGTCTCCAAAACAGAATGAAGCAAGCAGAAGAAAGAATCTCAGAATTGGAAGATATTTCCTGTCACCAGGGGGAAACAAACAAAAAGCTGGAAGCAGAGCTGGATCAGGTCAAAAAAAGTATTCAAGAATTGAAAGACACTATTAAGACTTAAGAGGTCAAATATAAGAGTTATGGGAGTCCCAGAAGGTACAGAAAGAAAAGCTGAGTTTGCAAATGTATTTAATGAAATAATAAAGGAAAATTTCCCTTATCTGGAGAAAGAATTGGGAAACAACATCCAGGAGGGGCACAGAACTCCCTACAGGCTTGATCAAAAGCGATCTTCACCAAGACACATGATTATCAAGCTCTCTTCCATTGAACATAAGGTAAAGATCCTTAAATGTGCACGTGAAAAACATCAATTGACATATAAAGGAATGCCAATTAAGCTCACAGGAGATCTCTCACAGGAAACTCTATAGGCAAGAAGAGAATGGAGTGACATATTCCAGATTCTAAAAGAAAAAAAAAAATTGTCAGCCTAGGATAACATACCCAGCAAAGCTTTCTTTCGTCTTTGAAAATGAAATAAAATTCTTCCACAGTAAAGAAAAGTTAAAAGAATTTGCCTCTATCAACCCTGCCCTACAAATGATACTTCAAGATGTTCTCTTGACAAAGAGGAATAGCACCCACTACAACCAAAGGCAAACGGGAAGAACATTCCAGTAAAAAGACGACAGAAGACTAAACCAATGAACAACCCATTCCTAAAATGACAGGACCAAAGTACCACCCATACATATTAAACTCTGAATGTAAATAGCTTAAGCTCAATCAAATGTCATAGATTAGTAGACTGGATTAAAGAACAAAACCCATCTATTTATTGTCTAGAAGAGACACACTTCACCAACAAAGATCAGCGGAAACTATATCACATGGGTTTTGTTGTTTTCTGTTGGTTTCATCTCTTCAAAACACTTTCTTCTGATTAAATCATTCAATGACTTGTAAATCATGCAGTGGCATCATTTTCTTCAAGAAGGTTCTTGATTTTCATTTCTTCAGCTACACGTTAGTCATTTAATAGCATGTTGTTTAACTTCTTGGTGTTGTTAATTTCTTTTGTCTCCCTGATGTTGATTTTGTTTTGTGGCTCTTCATTTAAGGGGATATATAGTAGCTGTGTAATGGAGACTGTCATATCTAGTAACATGTTATTTAACTTCAAGGCATTGTAAATTTCTATTTTTCTTTCTATTGTTGATTTTGTATTATGACTTTTCATTTAAAGGGTTGTACAGTAGCTGTGAAATGGAGACTAACATCCAGATGTGAGGATGCAGTGTGGTATGCATTTCTGCTTCCAGACAAAGATGGACTTAATAATGAAACTGTTCACTATATCTTGACAATAGGATTCTGGACTCTCTGCCATTGTCCATGCCCGCAATGATGAACATATGACGGAGTATGAAGAACTATGTTAGTAATAATATAAGGAACTATGGGGGGGAGGGAATTGGGGAGGCAATAAGGGAATATGAACTGTATCATAAACTGGTAATAATAATAATAAAATGTAAAAAAAATATATATTTTTTTAATTTTTATTTGAACAGCACAGAGAGAAATCTCTCATCCATTGATTCACTCTCCAAATAGCTGCAATGCTTAGAGTTGGGCCAGGTGGAAGCTGGGAACCAGGAGCTTCTTGTAGGTCCCCCACATGAGTAGATATCCAAGCACTTGAGCCATTTTCCTTGTGCATTCCTTGGCACAGTAGCAGGGAATTTGAACCAGTGCTCATATGGGCTATCAGCATCTGAGGCAGTAGCTTTAACTGCTATACCACAATGCAGGCCCCAAATCTTTGATTGGGAGTGTTATTCCAATTACTATAAAATAGATCCCTTTATTAAAGGCCACTGTAGTCTGTGCCCAGTCTTCAGATTGGCCGGCTCCCTCTTGGAGCTATGCATAGGCAGTGGCAAGTGGATTCCAAACTAGAACTCTGGCTATGTCCCTTCTGTTCCTCAGATGCCCAGCCCCAGCAGTAGCCCTCCACAGGACACTGCAGAGGCCCAGTGTGGGAGGGGCAAGGGATGTGACAGGTGAGTACCAGAGGCCTTCACAGGGGGTAGCAGGGTTTTCAGGGATCCCTGAGAACCAAGGAACATCTGTGGGATATCCTGGTTGTTCTGTTTGAGCTGGCAGAAGAAGGAAAAAGTGACCGCCTGGTAGCCCTGCAACTGGAAGAAGGTACCAGGTATTTTTTTAAATTATTTTAAAATTAGAGTGACAAAGAGGTTTTCCATCCTCTGCTTCACTCTATAAATGGCTTCTGTGGCTCAGAATGGACCAGGCTAACATTAGGATGCAAACACCTTCCACTTGGGCCATCTTCCACTGCTTTTCCAGGAGCATTTGTAAGGAGCTGGATGGGAAGTTGGGCAGACAGGACTCAAACTGACACTGACATCAGGTATCAGCATCCCAAGCAGCAGCTTAACTTACTAAGTCACAACGCAGCTGCCAGGAATCATCAAAAAATTATTCTATTTTTATCGGAAAGACAAATATACAGAAGGAAAGACAAAGATCTCCCACTTGCTGCATCACCTCCCAAGAGGCAGCAACGACCGGAACTCAGCTGATCCAAAGCCAGGAGCCAGGAGCTTCTTCCAGGACTCCCACACAGGCACATTGTCCCAAGGTTTTGGACCATCCTCTACTGCTTTCCCGGGCCACAGGCAGGAAGCTGGATGAGAAATGGAGAAGCTGGGACATAAACCAGTGCCCATATGGTATCCCAGTGCAAGCAAGGTGAGGATTTAGCCACTAGGCTATCGTGCTGGGACCGAGGGATCAGTTTTAATTGTGCGTTTACCACTCTCCCCACTGGAGAAGCAGTAGGTGAGGGGTTATGAACCCTAACTAGAGAGGGCCAGAGCTCACAGGGACCACCCTAACTATAGGAAGCTATTTGACTTTACTTAGTGTTTTCTGAGCTTTGTCATCAGCTTCGGACCTCACTGTGCTCACAGGCTGTGCGGTTCTAGCAAAGTGGCCCCTAGTTTCTCACCACGTATATGAGAATATCACTGTGTGCATCGTGTAACTAGTACAAATTAAGGGTTTGTGTATCATCCTGGGAAGGAGTAACTAATTTAGTCCAAAAGAAGTTCCAGTATGGACGACGCGATAAAATGAAGATTGCGATGAGCCTTAGGACAGAAACGGGACTGGGTTTTGCCCTTACCATCACTGGCTGTGAGTCCGGGCAAGTTATCCTACATAAGCTGCAGCCATTGCAAAAGCGATGAGTGCCCACTCGGACAAAGAGCTCAATGTGATGTATAAGCGAGCACATTAGGACCTTCTTGCTACAGTTCATAGACACTTGGAGAGGTGCATAAGCAACCTGATTGATAATACTCAAACGCTACCTGACTCAGCCTGTCCACAGAGGCTAGAAGTGTGGGCTGGGAAGACATTCCTGAGCTCAGGCCAGCACAGCCAGTAGGCTCACTCAAGTTTGTAAACACAAGCTGGCTGGCCCTAGGCCAGGTCGAGGTGTTTGCCTCTGCCTGGTAACAGAGGTGTGGCTCAGACAAGCATGGAGAGGAGCTGCCCGACAGACACAAAGCGGTGGAGAAACGTGCAGACCCCCACATGCTGGGGGTCGAGCTCCTCCAGGCTGAAAGAGACAAGTGAGTGGGGGCTGGGGACTTGAAAAGGGCTAGGGTCCCTACTTCCTGCTGGAAGCCTGAGGTGCGGGTTTCGAGGTGGGGAACTGCACCCGAAATAGGTCAAATTCAGCAAAACCACGCCCCAGAGCCCTAGGTTAGCAGCCCTGGAGACGCACGCTGCTAACAAAGCACCCTCTGCCACAGGCTGAACCAGGCTGACGTCCCGAGGAAAACGCCCAACGCCTGAGTCTCAGACTCTCAGGCCATGCACTCATACTGGTGCAGCCCACCGCTCGGAGAGGGAGGCTGGCCTTTGCCGCAGCCCCGCACCTACACCTGCCTGCCCGTCCCTCTGCTGCTGCCCCCCATCCAGGCGCACAACTTCTGCAGCCGGCCCAGCAGCCTGGGCGCGGGCGAGTGGACGGCCCCTCGTGAATACCACTATTTCTATGGCTCCACCGCCGCCGCCGTCCCACCCTGGTGGTTCTTCCCGTCCGCCTACGCCGCGGCCCTACCCCCGCCGCCCGCCGGCGTTCTGGGGCCGTCGCTGCAGACCGAACCAGAGGCTACGGAGAGCTGGGCGCCGTGGCCCGAAGGCAGCAGCCTCCAGGTAGAGCTGCGCTGGGGCCGCGTGGAGCGAGCGCTGGGCCGGCGCCTCCAGCTGCCCGACTTCGTGCGCCGCGAGCTGCGCCGCGTGTACGGCACGTACCCACGCACCGACGCGCGCGTCACTTACCGCCGCGGCGAGTTCCTGCTGCAGGGGTTGCCGCGCGTCCTCGAGCCCGAGTACCACGTGGAGAGGCGCGTGGTGCGTCGCCCCGACAGTGGCGGGAGCGGCGACGGTGCCCCGGAGGGGGAAGCCCAGGAGCTTCGTCGTCGTCGCTCCAAGAAGAAAGGGCTGAACTGAGCGCGCCCCGGAGCCGGCAAGCTCGCGTGCTCCTTCTGTCGCAGCCTCGCCGGCGCTCCTGGAGCCGAGCCTGCTTCGTGCTTCACGCGTCTTTAACCCTTTGCCTTTACTGCGCCCTGGCCCAACACCTGCACTTCTTGATTGCTCTCACACTTCTGGCCAGAGGCTCGAAGAAGGACGTTTCTAGATATTATGTTTCTTGTTCTCTCCAGATGGGTTTAAGAAGAAGCAAGGCCTGTACCCTTTAATCCCTCAATTACTTTCTCCCTAGCTTCTCACCCCCCCTCCCCCCGCACCCCCAAGAACCCAGCCCTGCAGGGTGGTGCTTTTCTTTCTTCTCCAACCCGAGTCTTTCCAATCTGATGTTTCGGTTCTCCACAGTGTGTAAATAAATGTGAGATAGATGTTGACTTCAAGGTAGTTGTTGTTTGGCAATGGGTGCTGCCCCTTGTGCACCCTGGGGAGCAGAAAGGTGGGGAATGGGGAGGAAACAGGCAACCTCCTGGCTGGGCTTAGCCCATGTGGTGTGCAACTCACACTCTTCTTGCCTTCCTGGTCCTGTGACCCTGGCCCTAGCCTCAGGGCACAGGATCAACCGATGTGTGGCAGGCATGACCCATGCACGAGGCCTACATTTATGGCTGCTCGGACATTTTCTGGTCATGTCACATTAGGCTCCAAATGTTGCACTCAATTGCTAAAACAGAATGTTACACCAGTGATAGTCACAACAAACTATAACTACAATGAAAAGCAAGGCAACCGACCGACCAACAGACCCGGATCGACACCCCTACCAGAGTATGGCCCCAAACAGCACATTTACAGGGCTTTTATAGGGACAGCTGACAATGGCTTGCATAGTGTAGCAGAAGAGAAGGTGCTGCGTATTCCCTGCCTGTCTCGGCTGGGCAGCTTGTGCCCATCTCCCTTTCAGTCTGGCAATCCAGATAACCAGGCTGAGGTCCTGGCAACGTCCGTGAGCTAACCAGACTCAGACCGGAATCCCTGGGAACTGGGAACCATTTGTGTTGAAGAGCACATAGGAGGCTCGGCCTGCGAGCCTACCCAGACATTCTCATACAGCCTCATAGCCAAGCAGAGCAGGAGTTACAGAAGGGAGAAGTGTTGCAGTTAGCAATGAGCCATGTTTACTCCATTTTGATTTCAATTTTACACTCTTAAGTCTGTTTCTTCATCTATAAGAGGAATAGGGGATAGGCCTGGCAGCCAAAGTTCTCACCTTGAATGCTCTGGGATCCCTTATGGGTGCCGGTTCTAATCCCAGCAGCTCCACTTCCCATCCAGCTCCCTGCTTGTGGCCTGGGAAAGCCATCGAGGACAGCCCAGAGGCTTGGGACCCTGCACCCACGTGGGAGACGTGGAAGAAGTTCCTGGCTCCTGGCTTCGGATTGTAATAGTACCGGCTGTTGCACTCACTTGGGGAGTGAATCATCGGATGGAACATCTTTCTTTCTGTCCTCCTCTCTGTGTATCTGACTTTGCAATTAAAAAAAAAAAAAAAAGAGGCATAGGAGCTGATATGGAGGCACAGTAACTTAAGCTGCAGCCTGTGATACTGGCATCCCATGTGGTGCCAATTTGAGTCCTGGCTGTTCTGCTTCTTATCCAGCTCCCTGCTAATGTATCTAGGAAAGCAATAAAAGATGACCCAAGTCCTTGAGCCCCGGCACCCATGTGGGAGACCAGTCCCATCTGTTGCCGCTGTTTGGGATGTTAACCATGAACCTGTGGATAGATCTTGTTCTCTCTGTAATGAAGCCTTTCAAACAAATAAACCTTTAAAAAGGGTTTTTAAAAAGGTATGAAATTGGGGTGTGGTGTTGTGGCACTGTAGGTTGGATCACTGCATGTCAGAGTACCTGTGGAGTTTTGGTTTCTCTGCTTCTGATCCAGCTTCTTGCTGATGCATCTTAGGAAGGCAGTGACCAGATGATGGCTCAAGGGATTGGACTCCGGCCAGCCACCTGGAAGATTCACATGAAGGCTCCTGGTCTTTGCCTAGCCCAGGCTTGGCTGTTGCATCAGAGAGAATAAACCTTAGAATGAGGATTCTCTCTCTCTTCCTGCTGCTCTGCCTTTCAAGTAGATGAATATACATAAGCACTAAAATAAAGTTAGGGCCTGGCACGGTGGCCTAGTGGCTAAAAGTCCTCACCTTGAACACGCTGGGATCCCATATGGGCACTGGTTCTAATCCCGGCAGCTCACTGGGCCACCACACTGGGCCCAATAGTTTCTAAAAGATTTTTTTTAAATAAATGTCTGTCCTCTCTCCTCCTCTCTATGTATTTGCAATAAATAAATAAATGTTTAAATAAATAAATTACATATCTATGCTACTAGTTTTATTCTTCAGTCATGGAGAATTGTCTGCATGCTGCTAAGCCTTTTCAAAAAAATCCTTCTGTAAAACAATGCAGTATGTAAAGAGTAGATGAGTCCCACATCAACATAAGGGATGCTCTATGTCCTCCCAGGCTGTTCTCTTAGGTCTAGAGACTTGAATTCTCTTCGAGATCCTTCCCCATCAATAGGGATCCTCACTGCTTCCAGACATTCCCTTTTTGCCCTGGAAGTAACCCTCGACTGTACAGCAGCTTCCTTCTGTTCCCCATTCCCAGCAAGGGAGCTCTGACTGCAGGCTTTCAGATGGAGACACTGCCATGGGGCATTTTTTTGTCCTCTAAGCCCTGTGGAGGTGAGCCCCACAGGAGCTTCAACTGAGTCATCATGTGGGTGCAGGGGTCCAAATCCTTGGGTCATTCTTCACTGCTTTCCCCAGGGCATTAACAGAGAGCTGGATCATAAGCAGAGCAGCTGTTTCCAAACTAGAATGTCTCTATGGGATGCTGGTATCACATCATAACAAATTCACCTGCTATGCCACAATACCAACCCCCTGACCTTCCCTTTTTACATAACCCTTCAAAGCTCAAAACCTATCAAACATCTGGGCTGCCAAGGATCTCCACTGACCTGATGTTAGGACAGCAAGGGCAGAGACAGGGAGTGAGTCATACTGCTTGTGGGAATCCAGGACTCTCAACAGAGACTGGTACCCCAGGCCCTGGCCCTAACAGCCTCCTCTCCCTTGCCTTACTCCAGCCTTCTCTGTTAGCCAATCCTAGCATCTTATCCAGAGCCCTTCACTCAACAAGTACTTTGGTCCCTATCACACATATGGGAGACCTAGGTTGAGTTCCAGGGTCTCACTTTGCTTGGCCCAGCCCTGGCAGTTATAGGTATTTGGGAAGTGAAACAGTAGATGGAAGGATTCTCGCTCTCTCTCTCAAATAAATAAAAACAAATAAAATTGTAACAAGATGACAAAGGTCATCTCTTTAGAAAGTTAGAGGTCAAACTATGGAAGACTTCAAAGGCACAGTCAGATTTGAGCAGCCAGGGAAATCTCTGAACAGAAAAGTAGCTTGAGTCAAGGTGATCAAGAGATGGGCGCCACAGGCAAGAGGGGAGCCTGTGGGAGTGTCTGCTAGCACACACCTGAGCTGTGGCCATTAGCTTCTCCATAGCCTTGCTATTGGTGATGCAGCCCAGCTGGGCACCAGAACTGAGTCCCTAGGGTATCTGCTAGAGCTCACAGCCTATAGAATTCAGTTCTCAGAGCCAGGCAACCAAAGTTTTCTCAGCCCTGACACTGCCCTCCCATGCTGCTTGGTGAACAGTCTCCCCTTCCCACAAGGAGCAAGTTAAAGCCCAGGGAGGGTCAGAAGAGAAACCTGGGATCTTAGGATCTCTGAGGGGGCCTGATGTGAGACCTGGCAAGGAAGAAGGGACAAGGCATTCCTAGATGCCAACTGAAATTGAACGTGGGTATAAAGGGAGGAGGATGGGCAGGCATTCTATCCCCCAGTGATATCATTGTCAGTTTTGCTCTCTGCCTCAAGGTGTGCCCTGGGGGGCCAGACACAGGACTGGGGGTAGCAAGGGGCTGCTGAAAGAGCCTGAACAGTCACATTGCAAAGAAGACATCTCTCTGTACACTGGGGGGACTTCCTGAACTAAAGGGGGGTCCCCCAGATAAGAGCCCAGGAGTCCTACCTCCCTGAAAAAGCCTGCAGCTCCATGCTGGGGATGGTGGACTGGAGGAGCTGGGTGTCCTGGAAGCACAACGGCTCTGCAAAACTGGACCAAGGACTGGCTGCAGTCCTCCCGGAAACCAGCTGCAGCCCACATCTCTCCCCTGTGGAGAGAACTCCCAACCAACATACCCTGGATGCGTGTGCCCCAGCCCAGGCGTGTGCCCCCAGCCCAGGCATGTGAATTCCAGCAAGGGGAAGCACTTACCCATGAAGTCTCCACACTCTCTCTCTACTCTGTCGTCCTCCTGGGGCTGGGTCTGCAGGGATCATTTCTACCCCAGCCTTAAACAGTACCTCCATCCTGCCCTCTGCCATGCCTCCTCCCCCACCCTGCCCTCCATGCTCCTCTGAGAAAGGAAGAAGGTGTGGAAGGGCAAGACACCCTGGCCAGGCAGCTTTCTCATCTCAGCCCCTGAATCCCTCCTACCTATTGACACCAGCCCACTGGGTGCGGTTTTCTGCACCTCACTGGACTCAGTGCCTTGTATACCATGAGGAATGATGGAGAGCACGCTCAGCCTAGGATTCCAGCTTAGGTGAAATGCAGGTATCCAAACACCAGCTGTATTTGAGGGAGCCAGGGGCAGGTGGAGAGGGTTCTTTGCCTCCTCCTTGGAGTCTGTGCCCATTATCTGGAGGGAGACAGAAACCTGAGGGGACAGAGAAAGTAAGTGCTTCAGGGTCTGGGCAACCATGGAACGCAGAAGGGCAGGGACTCCCTGGTACCCACATCTTATACTTTGTGTGTCCTTGGTATAGGGTAGTCCCCCTCCTTAACCCACTTTCAGGCCTCTGGCCTTTGGACCTGATCCCTGCCATGGAGAGATGTGGGAGAGTTTGAAATCTCGCTCCATCTTTTGCTGAAAGCTCAGAAAGGTCTCCCATCCCCTCACCCCCCCCCCCCATCTAGCTACTCCCAGATAGCACTTAAGAGAGCAGGGGAGCAGGGGAAGGAGGGAAGTCACACGGTGTCAAGGACAGTGGTTGGGTGCCTTTGACCAGAATTCTGAAGGTTCCAGGAAAGGAGGGCTGCAAACAGAGTCCCTGAGAGCAATTGTGCATTGGAGACTGGTGGAGAGAACGTCTCTGGAGGGCGGATTATGATCCCTTTTGCAGAGGTTCTGGGACTGTGAGCTCCAGGGGAGGTGGGGGATACAGCTTCTGGGTCCCCAGCCTTCCCTCAAGTGTCTAGTATGGACAAAGGGCTCATCTCCACTGGCTGGGCTAGTTTACCCTGCAAGGGGACTCCTTCCTTCAGGACCCGTTTCAGGGTTCCTGGGAACATATCAAGTGGGCGAGGCGGACTCTTGCTTGATTGGATGCCAGGGCTTGAACCTGGACTGGACACGAAGGGAAAAAGACGCTGGGATTCGGGGACAAGAACCACACCCGTGAATAAGGGTCACCGGATTCTAGCAAGGAGCTGCAGCGTCCTCTGTGGAGGGGCGGGAAAAACACGGAGGGGAGGGTGAATTTATAATTTGCGGGCAGAGACCCCGGGAGCGAGGTTCAGGCTCGGGAGGAAGAAAGCCGGATGCGGGAACACACAAAAACACAGCACCTGCAATTCTACCCATTGCTGGGGCTGAGGTGGGGAGTACCTTCACGCCTAACTCCTCCGTACCCGCAAGAAAAATGGCCGCTGTGGCTTTCCCATCCAAAGCAAGAGATAGAAGAGCCTAGGGGGAGCTATCCCACCCCGTTGTAGACAATGAGCCCTTCTCAAAAATGGCCGTTACAGCGTCTGTGAACGGGAACCTCTCTGGGCCCCGCCTTTGATCTCGTTGGTGGGACTGGGGCATGAGAGCTGCACCGCGCGGGACAAGTCGCCGGCGGCGCCCGACGGAGCAGGTGATTACCCCTCCAGCCCCTGACCCAGGGGTAGGAGAGTCGCAGAGAGCGTTGGCCCGGGTACCTGACCTGAATGTTTCCCTCTGGTAGCCCCCCACCCGGGCTCGCCGACCCCTGTCTCCGATTCTCTCTGTGTCCTGTATGAAGGCATATCCAGTTTCCTCAGGCCGGCCTTTTCGAGTGTCCCCGAAGGCCGCAACTGCATCCCTGTGCCCTCGGCTCCACTATTATGGATGCTTTCGGGTGCCCCACTAGCGGGTTTCAGGCGCTCTCGCTTCAGGGGGCCGGTCATTATCGCTTTCCCACTTCCTGTGTGCCCCTATCTCTCAAGCCCGTGTGTGCCCTGCCTGACTGGATGTCAGGGGCCCGGTTTCCTCCCTGTCCTTGCTGCTTGCAAGGGTCCTCTGGGGCTTGCACCGTGGGACTCATGCCCCAGGAGGAGGGCTTCGCTGGGATGGAGGAAGCAGGAAAGAGCTCGGCACCGGACCCCGGCCACCTGCCCACCCGCGTTCCTCAGGACAGTCCTCCCAACAGGGCCTGCTCCCGGTCCGCCACCCAAGGGAGGGGCACAGCCCCCCTCACCCCATCTTAGAGGGTCTCCACCAGGTAGCAGGGGCGTCCAGGCCTGTATCTGGTCCCCAAGGAGCTCTCGGGCCAGTGGGAGGCACCGTGTGGGCTTGTTGGGGTGGGCGGGGGGGGGGGGGAGAATAGGTCCCACAGGATGCGATTTGGAGAGACCGGAGGAGAGATGTTCTGAGCCAGCAGGACAGTGTGGGCCAAGATTCTGAAGCGGGCCAGACAGGAACAGCAACAGCCTGCAGCCCTGTTACTGGCATGGAGATGGTGTGGCATGGTGACTAACAGTGTGGGTTCTGGGACCAAGAGGCCTGAGTGAATCCACCACAAACTTGCTTTGTGACTTCTGACAAGGGAGGGTTGCAAACAGAGTCCCTGAGAGCAGTTGTGCAATGGAATACTTCTCAGTACTTCCATTTCCTTTTGGGTGAAGTGGGGATAAGGTTCATATCTACATTTGGGGGTTAATGTAGGTTAGTTAAGTTAATTTACAGTCACTCAAAAAAAATAATCACAGAAAATGGAACTTGGGGACTGGCACAATGTCATAACAAGTTAATCCTCCGCCTGCAGCACAGGCAACCCATATGAACGCTGTTTCTAAGTTCAGCTTCCTGCTAATGTGCCTACAAAAGCAGCAGAGAATGGCCCGGGTTCTTGGGCTCCTGCACTCATGTGGAGAACCCGGAAAAAGCTCCTGGCTCCTGGATTTGGACTGGCCCAGCTCTGGCCATGGCGCCATTTTGGGAGTCAGTGGGTGAAAGATCTCTGTCTCTCCCTCTTTCTCTATAGTTCTGACTTTCAAGTAAAATAAATCTTTTTTAAAAAGATGAAACTTTAAAGCTTTCATGCAAAAATGTTTTTGCAATCCATGTTTACTTCTCTATCAGACTTTTTGAAGATCCCTCATATATGAATTTCAACATTTGTTGGCACCAAAATAAGTTTAATTTAATTCTATTTTCCATGAACCTTTTTTTTTTCTTCAAATTCTAGGTGCAGAAGGAAACAGAGAACTAACTCCTGTCTGCTAGTTCACACTCTAATCATTGGGAGCTTAATTCAGTCATTTTTTTCCATCTGGGTGGCAGTAACCCAGTTACTTGAGCTATTAGGGGTCTTATTTAGTAGGCAGCTGCAATTGGACCAGAGCCCAGTGTTGAATCAGGGAACCTAATGGGACAGCCAGCTCTTACATGAGTGTTGTTTAGAAGTACTTTGAAAAGCAGAGTGACACAGAGAATCTTCCCTGTGCCAGTTCTCTTCCCAAATGCACACAACAGCTGGGGCCTGGATAGACCAAACCCAGCACCCACAACTCCATGCAGGTCTCCCATGTGGGTGTCAAGGCCCAAGCATTTGGGTCATCCTCTGCTGCTTTCCCAGGTGCATGAGCAGGGAGTTGAATCAAAAATGGTGTAGCTGAGATTCAGAACAGAAACAAACAGAAAAAGATAAAACAAAAACTGATATAAGATGTGGGTGTTACAGGTGGTGGTATAACCCGCTGTACTATGAGACCCACCCTTTCATGAGTTCTTGAAAGTACGTTGCATATGTACAGTGCTGGGGCAGTATCTGGTCAGCAGTGGGCAAGGCCTACCTATCATGCCCATCATCAGAGCTATTGAAGGTGGACTCATGACAGAGGGACAGTCCCATTTCCTAGGTAGCACTAATGAGTGATCCCTCAAAGTACAAAGCAATGGATTCTGTAGGTTACATCTGGAAATGTGGAAAGCTTTGGGGAAATCACATCTCTACACCAGAGGAAGATGGCTACTTAGACTCATGACTTAGGAAAACAGTTTAGTAAGCCAGATCTCCCTGGCTCAGGCACAGTATGGGGACAACTATTAGGAAGAGGCCAAGCTGAGGGACAAGCTGAGGAGGGCAAGGATAAGAGAGCAGCAGGCAAGCTGGGTGAGGGTCAGGCAGCCTAAGAAGGGCGAGTGGAAGATGTTCCCTTAGGAAGCTCTGGGAAGGGAGTCTTTCTTTGGGGACACTGAGGAGTTTCCCTCTCCCAGCTTCCTGACCAGCGGGCCTTGGTTAGCAAGTCAGAATCATCAGTCAGCTTCCCTGAGAAGCTTTTTGCCTAGACCTGGACTCCCCTCAAGCACCATGAGCCTTTGTTCCTGCAGAGGTTCCTGGGCACACAAGCTCATGCATCTGCTGGAGGGCAGCTTCCCCCGACCCCAAGTCTCCAGGATCCAACAGACAAGCATTTCTGTGCTTCTTAATATAACTTCTGTGCTATCACAGTGACTTTGTGACCACTCGGGGGACAAGGCCACTCTGACCGTAAGTGATAGCCCTGGCCCAACCCACCTGCAAGTCTCGATATCTTCTCCATCCACAGAGTAGCCCTGGAGTAGACACTTGATTTAAATCTTGGCGACCATAGGCAAGCCAGGTGACTGGGCAAGGCATTAACCCTCCCAGGGCCCCAGTGTCTCTGTAGAAGGGGAAGTAACTCAATCATGGAGTGCCCCTTTGGTGAGATATGCTGAGAATGTCCAGGTGAGTCCACCCAGGGTGCAGTTCCTATCTTCCTGCAATCACTGCAGAAATGTTAGACACTGTCCAGATGATCAGCTGTAGCTCAGAGCAGGGGACTGGACTGGAGGACTGGACCCAGGGGACTTGGTGATATTTGTTTCATACAGTTATGGGCCAGATGAGATCTTCCAGAGGGAGTGAGAACAGCAAGAAGTGCAGTGGCTTTGAGCTTGGGGAGCTCCAACATTTGGAGGGGGCCAGGGAAAAATGGCCAGAGACGTAAAAGGAAACCAGGAGAGTGTGTTGCTAATATTGGTGCTATTGAAATGGCAGATATTAGGTGTACTCATTAAAAAAAAAAGTGCCCTCCCTGCCCGCCCCTTTTTTCCTCCCTACCCGCCCCCTTTTTCCTCCCTACCCTTTTAAAAGTATTTGAGAGGCAGGGAGAGACAGACAAGCACTCCATCCACTGGCTTGTCCCCCAAATGCTGCCAACGGCCAGGTGGCCAGGTGGAAGCCAGGAACTGAGAACTCGATTCATGTCTCCCGTATTGGTGGCTGGAAGCTTTTGCCTCTCGTGGTCTGCATTAGTAAGCAGCTGAAACCAGGTACTGTGATGCAGGCATCCTAACCAGCATCATGAGTGCTAACTGAACATCTGTCCCCTGACTCTCCCAACTTTGTAAATTAAACTAGACAGAATCAGCAAGCTCAGAGGACCAGTCAATGTAATCTGACCAAAATCAGGAAAGTTAACTGCTGGCAGCCTTAGCTCAAGAGATTTGGTAGATATGATGGAGAAGCCAGACTGGAGGTGGAGAAAAGTGGATAGAATAGAACTAACAAGGCAGGATTGCTTGGGTGTGGAAGGGGTGAGAAGGCAGCAGAGGCTGGGGAGGTGGGCAAAGCTGAGACCCACAGGGGGGAAGGCCTTGGAAAGGAGAATGGCCAGTCCTCCGTGGGTGTCCCAGGCTGCTGGAGGGGCGGGGTTTGGACAGGAAGAGCAAGTTCATGAAAGCCTGCCCCTTCTGTCTGGGCCCTGGAGCCAGAAAAGCCCCTTTATGCCGAGAGGGTGGGTGGCCTTTTCTGGGTGGAGGAAGAGCTGTGCTTGGTCGGGAGGCCTGCTCCTGGAGGGGCTACACAATGAAGCCCCTTGTGGCTGCACTTGGAAGCCAAGTGGCCTCCTCACTGCTGGGATTCCTTAGCAGCCAGGAGGCATGTGATCCCAAGACCTTGGGCTTTTGCCAGAGGTTCTGGCCCGCTGCTGAGGAGTGGGATGAGGGACGCTGGGAGGAGGGCAAGGGGTGGAATCCCCCTCTGGATGCCTTCTCCGAGACAGTGCCATGCCCTGTTCGAGGCTGGAAGAGGTGGCAGAAGTGGCAGCAGAGGGGGCTGGGAATGCCCCAGTGACAGATGGGTCCCCAGCAAGCCAGGAGGGAAGGGCAGCTGTCCCCGACCCAGCGGGTGGAGGCAGGCTGAAAAGGGCCTGGCAGTCCCGCCTACTTTGTGTCCCTGCAGACAAGGAGAGAGCATGGAGCTAGAGAGGATCGTCAGTGATGCCCTGCTCGCCTTTGTCCAGACGCACCTCCCAGAGGCCGACTGCAGGTAGAGGCTGCTCCTGCGGGAGGAGCATGCCGGGGCCAGGGCTGGGGGAACCTGGACAGGGTCACACACTGCCCATTCCCAAGGCAGGGTTGAGGGGGCTTCCTGACAGCCCATCCCATCACTGTCACTGGAGGGGTCAGGGCGCGGGTGGGGTGGGCATCCTCCAGCTTATGGACTGAGTTTGGACTCCCAGGCCCAATGAAGCCAAAAGCCAGGGTGTCCAGCAAAGTAGCAATGGGGGTGGGGGAGGTATCCACCGTCCAACCCAGGCATGCCTTCTCTTCCCCTACAGCGGTTTGGATGAGGTCATCTTCTCCTATGTGCTTGGGGTGCTCGAGGATCTGGGCCCCTCTGGTCCCTCTGAGGAGAATTTTGACATGGAGGCCTTCACCGAGATGATGGAGGCCTACGTGCCCGGCTTCGCCTGCATCCCAAGGTAGGACATGGCTCAGAGGGGAGCTGGCTGGCGCTGGGAGGTGGGCAGAGGCATTCCCTCATCTCATCGACCTGTTGGTCCTCAGGTCCACAGTAGGGGACATGATGCAGAAGCTCTCAGGGCAGCTGAGTGATGCCAGAAACAAAGGTGAGGCGGGGGCTCCTGGGCACATCACAGCAACACCTCCCGACACACACGCTAAGCCCCAGCACACCTCCTGTTTTCTGCCTCTTTAAGAGAACCTGCAGCCACAGAGTGCTAGTGCCCAAGGCCAGGTGTCCATCTCCCCTGAACCCCTGCAGCAGCCTGACAAGCTCAAAGAAGAGGCCAGGTCTTCGGCTGCCACTGAGGGTGCCCAAGAGGAGGTACTGGGGAGAAGGACGCTGAAGGGGGACCTGCAAGCCAGGGAAGGAGGGAGCTCTACTTCTCGTCATTGTCTGTGCCCACAGGCAGCTGGCACTGAGGAAGAGCTCCTGCCCGGAGTGGATGTACTCCTGGAGGTGTTCCCCACCTGCTCGGTGGAGCAGGCTCAGTGGGTGCTGGCCAAAGCTCGGGGCGACCTGGAAGAAGCTGTACAGATGCTGGTAGAAGGGAAGGAAGTGGGGCCCCAGGACTGGGACAGCTCCAACCAGGTATCCTCTCTCTGGGCTCTGGCCCTCGGTCCTGTCCATGCAGCTATGGCTGCACTTCACCCGGGGCGGGGGCGGGGGGGAGACCCCATCCCTCCCTGTCCTCACTGCCACTGGGCTTAGTCCAGGCCTCCCTCTTGGCAGGACCTGCCCAGGCGCCTCCGAGGCCCCCAAAAGGATGAGTTGAAATCCTTCATCCTACAGAAGTGAGTCTGGGTTGGGCTAGGCCAGGCCCTGGCAGGCCTTCCTTGGGCGGCAGGCGCTCATCCAGTTGTCTTTGGCAGGTACATGATGGTAGACAGCGCAGAGGATCAGAAGGTTCACCGGCCCATGGCTCCCAAGGAGGTGAGCGGGGAAGGGGTGGTAGGGACTGGCTGGTTCCTGGCTTCTGCCACTCACTGTAGGAATTGCTGTGCAGGCTCCCAAGAAGCTTATCCGGTACATTGACAACCAGGTGGTAAGCACCAAAGGGGAGCGATTCAAAGATGTGCGGAGCCCTGAGGCTGAGGAGATGAAAGCCACGTACATCAACCTCAAGCCCGCCAGAAAGTACCGCTTCCACTGAGGCGCTCTCGGACTCTGCCCGGGCCTTTGTGGCTCCAGTCCCACGGGGATGCAGGAGCCCCTTGTCCCCACACAGGCCCCTCCTCAACTCCTGTCCCCATCCCTGTCCTCAGCTTCTGGCTCCATAGCACCCACCTACTGTTGGAGCTGCCTCCACGGATACAATAAAAGTGACCCAAGGAAGCTGTGAGCAGTTCTGGTCATTTCTACCTCAGGCTTGAGATACTCTGCACTTGTCTGACCTTTCACTCTCTCCCCCAGCCCCAGCTTCACTTTTGAATCCAACAGGGCAGCACGAGGCAAGAGGTGAATAAATGATCTTTATTTGAACCTCCAGGGTAGGGCTGGGCCCCCGCCTCACACAGAGACCCCCCCCCAGTTAAATGTCCCTACAGCTTGGCATCAGGTCCCAACCACACAGTCCAGCTGTGCTCCAGCAGCAGGCAGCTCAGACCTGCAGGTTGACAAAGGGCGCGAAGCTCGCCATGTCCTGCAGCAGCACTAGGGCCTGGTGCAGCTGCAGCTGCACGTCGATGTCCACACCGCGCTTCCGCAAGCGGCTCAGGCTGGAATCGGTCACGTGGTGGCAGTGCCGTACCCGCAGCGAGCGCAGCGCCGGGCAGTACTCAGCCAGAGTCCTGGGGGAGGAGCGGGGTGAGGCTAGGGGCAGCCAGCTGGCTTGGGGGGTCGTTTCCACCCTTCCTTCCCATGTGCAAGGGGCGAGGCCTTGGACCTCAATACTTCCTGCCCTTCAGCTCTGCCCTGGTTCCTGAGCCCAGAAGCCAGAAACAGACTCACCAGGTGAACTCGCCCAGTGTGTCAATACTGGCCCAGAAAAGTTTGTGAACTGTGGGCTCTTGGACCTGGGCAATCCCAGAGGCCCAGCAGAAGTTAGCAAGAATTTTCAAAACCTCTCCATTCAGCACCACCACCCACCACCACCACCACCTTACGGCCCCCCTGGCCCCGGCACCTGACGCCATCGTTTCCCACGCGGAGGCAACCAGTGAGGTCCAGGTGCTCAAGGTGCGGGCAGTTCCTGGCCAACTCCTGGACTGCGGTGTCCCCTACGTTGGCGTTCACCGCCAGAGACAGGCTGCGGAGGCCGGCCCCGCGCCTCTGCGCCAGGTATACTATGGCCTCGTCCTTGAGCTGGCGGCAGGCGGTGAGGTCCAGCTCCTCCAGTGCCGGGCAGCGGTCGACAAGGCCACGCAGTGCCAGCCCGTCCACCCAGTCACAGTGCGCGAGCGACAGACGCTGCAGGCGAGGGCAGCCCTCGGCTAGCGCCCCCAGCGCCCGGCGACTTAGATGGACGCAGCTGGCCAGCGCCACACTCCGCAGCTGCGGATTCCGCGCCAGCAGCGGCACCAGGTCCTGGTCCGACAGCCAATCGTGACACGGCGCCAGCGCCAGCTCCTGCAGCCCCTGGGCGTCTCGCAGCAGCCAGGCCAGAGCAACCCGCGAGATCTCCGGACCCACCTGCGCGAGGGGAGGCACCTGCACACTCAGCCCCGTCGGAGGGAGGGATGCACGCTGCCCACCCGCCCCTGACTTGTTTCCTGGCAGCCGCCTGCTCTCCAAGGAGAGATCCTATGCTTCTTCGGGCTCACCACCCAGGACTCCCCCCGCTCGACTTATAGCATCCGGGCAGCGCTGGCAGCCCAAGGGGGTCGGGAAAGGTGGAGAATGGAGCTGGGGGCTGGGCAGGAGACGGGACGGGGCGGGAGCCATGCGGGAGCGGGGTTCCAGTGTCCGGCTCACCTGGGCGGCGTCGAAGCGGCGCAGCCCCGCCAGGTGCAGCTGGACCAGCGCCCGGAATGCCCGGCTGACGCGCTGCAGCTGGAGCAGCTGGCGCAGCGGGACCCGGGTTAGGATGTGAGGGACCAGCACGTCTTCCCAGGGCAGGTCCAGGAGCCTGCGGATAATGCACAGCTGGCGTTTCCGGGCCGCAGTTCCCTGAGAGGCGGCCTCCTCTGTGCCACTACGCCCCGGCTCCCAGAGACCCCCAGACTCAGCTCTCCTCCTCCCCTCGCCGAGCCCCCTCTTCTCTCTTTGAGACCCTCCAGTGCTCGGTACCTGACGGCTCCCGGCTCTCGCTCCCCTCCGGAACGCTCCATTGGTGGGTCCATGAGCTGTCTACTGCGCGTGCGCAGTGAGGTCTCGCTCTGGCGGTGGAGATGCCGTAGTGAAGCCGTCTCCTCTGGCTGTGGAGGCAGGCCGAATCAATCGAGCGCCGTCTCACCGAGGCTCCAGTCAGAAAGCTTTCCGGGCTAAGACGGAGCAGGACGTTAGCTTAGCGTGAGACTCCGGCTTCTGGGCTGTTAGAAAGCGGGAGGCTCGAAGCAGGAAAGGGCGGCGGGCCTCCGGCATTGGGATCTCCCTTCGCCTAGAGCCGCCTCAGAGGGAGGTGGCGTAGGGAGGAACTGGGGTGGCCCCCGCTCAGCAGGGGCGGAGCCGGGACTGCGGGGTGACCGGCTTCCCGCTGCTTTCAGGTCGCGTCCTGTGACCGAGCGGCGGTGAGGGCGCTCCGTGGGACTTTGTGGAGCTCCCGTAATAGGCCAGAGCTTCCTGACACGTAGCACGACTCTATGAGTCAATATGGAGAGAGGGAACGAAGGCGGCGAAGCTAGAATATTCTTCCTCCATCAAACCCGCTTGACGAGACCACCCATCCCCGGTTCATTGTGAAGTGCGAAGCCTCGGGACCGGGTGGCGAGGGCCCACTGCCCCCAGGGAGACAGACTAGAGGATGGGGCCGCAGCCCTTCCTCCAGGCCGGCCCTGCGCCTAGTGGCTGCGGGCAGCTGGACTCTACCCCTGGCCGCCCTCTTACCACGGCTCAGTTTCTAGCCACAGAGTCTGCTCTGGGGCACACCTGCTGAAGAACCTAGATGTTTTCTGCTTTTGCGATTCTGCTTTAGTGGCTTGGCTAGGGGCTGTGTGAACTCCAGGCCTGATAGTCTACGTGATGCCCGACAGGACACCTGGCAGGTCACGTAGGCTGACCACCAGGTACCTGGTGTTTGAGAAGATCACCACCCTATAGTCCATCAATTTGTACCTTTTGAAAGTGGCTTGCTTCAAACCCACCAATAGAAGCCTGCTAAATCATCACTGTATAATTAATAGCCTGTAATGTATAAGAACGCTGGGCTGTTCAACTGGGAGCTCTTCCTTCTCTTTTGCCCTCCCTGCGGATCCTGCAGCAGCCCGGGCTGCGGCTGCCTCTCCCCCGCACCGCCCTGCAGGGCTGGGGGAGGTGGCTGGGAGACCTAGGCTAACCTGAATAAACAACCTTTGTGCCTCAGCACCGACTTAAGGCTTGATGATTTTCTGGGGATTTCAAAATCCGGCACAACACTGCCATAGTACCTTCTCCCCACCACACACCGCGTGGGTGTGGAGGGATGCGAGGGCCACGTGCTCCTTCAGTGCAGCCTCTTCCGCCACCTCTGGGTATCGAACCGGCTTCCTCTATGCGCATCCTCGATCTGCGGACACCTCGGTGAGGGGAGTGGGTCTGTGCTGTCCATTTAAACAAGGGGACGTCAGGGAGGGAGGGGCATGGAGAGAGAGAGGGTAGCTCGTGGGCACGGGGTAGAAGGAATAACGTCTAGGCTTCTATACACAGTAGGGTGACTGTTACTATGACGACGGTTAATTGTATATTTCCAAGTTGCAATGCTCCAACACAAAGAAACACTAAGCGTTTGAGATCATGGATGTGGCGATTGGCCTGGTAAATTGATGATCACAGGCTACATACACGAATGGAAACCACAGTGCCCCTCATTCATACGGCTGTTACATCAGTTGAGCACAGGTAGAACCGAGGCCTTGTCCAGCAACCAGCCGGGTCGGGCAGCGAGAACCCAAGCATCATATTTTCCCACAATTCTTTCTATGCTCCCTCACCACCCCCGCCCCCCAATCCAAAGAGGAGGGAGAAGCCTGCCGCAGGGAAGGACCTGAAGAGGTTCAAATTGGGTGAGGGGCTTGCTGGCACACTTCCGGGAGTCGCTTGTAGGAGGACCGACCTGGGCAGAGACGGGGCTGCGGGAACGCGCACCGTCGCCGGCCACGCGCCTCCCTCCCCCTCCCCGCTTTGTTCGCCGCTCTACGCCTGCGCAGTGCGACAAATCTGGCGCTGTCCCCTTCAGCACCACGCGGAGCCCGCGCCGCCCCTCCCCGCGGTGAGCCCTGCGCGCCTCCGCCTCGCTCGTCCCCGCGCCCCCGACCGCCCTCACAGACCCCAGCTTCCTTCCGAGGTTACCACCTGGCGGTCCTGACTCTCCCAAGGAGGGTAATTGCCACAAACGTATCGAACGGCGCTTTCTTCACATAGCCGGGCCCCATTCTACCCGGGACAAGGGGACTGGGGTTGCCCCATCTCATCTAAACTCTTAGCCATGGGAGGAAGGGCCGCAAGGAAGTACTCCCTGAAATCTGATTTAATATCCCTCCTGCTGCAGCCTGGGTGTGCAGTCAGCATTAGGACTTCCCGGGTTTGAGACCCAGAATGCCGGAGGGTTCGGAGAGTTCGAGACGGTGTTGGCCAGACCTACAGCTGCAGGCAATAATGGTCTCTCGGGTTTGGGGGCGGGTCCAATCTTGACCCGGACCGTGTGCCTGGCGCGGCCGCGTGCTTGTGGAGGCGGGAGCGCGTGTGGCATGTAACAGGTCATGTGGCAGCCTCCGAGGGACACGCGTGGGGTCTGGAGCAGGACACGCGTGTGCAGCTGGCTCCGACGTGGGTTCAGGGGGCGGTGGGCGACGGGGACGTGGACTCAGCCGGATGGGGCTCCTGAGGATCTGAGGAACCACAGCCAGGGTTCCAATCGGCTTCCACCTCACCTGGGACAGTCTTGGGTTGGCGGGAGAGCCCCAGCGGGCATCTAGCGAGGACCAGGGGGCTGACAGCCTCGGGGACTCAGGACTCTGGGAGAGGGCGGGGTGAGGGTGGGGATTAGCGTTGCTTGAGTGGCGTGCTTGGGGGAGGAGGAGGGACTGCGAGGCGAGGCGGGCGGGCCTGGAGCAAGCGGGAGCCGCGCTGCCTTCACAGCTGAGCTGCGCCCAGCCTCTCCCCTGCCTCTCCTCGGTCCCAGCTCCTGACGAGCACCGGTGAGTACAGAGGCGGCTTTGCTGCGCGGCACGTCCTGGGTTCCAGCTGAGCTGCAGGAGGCTGCCTAGCAGGGTTGCTGTTCTGGGCCTCTGTCCCTACCCTGCCTTGCCACCAGAAGCCTCTCCCCTCCCACTCCCCGCCCATCACCCCACTGTGGTGGGTAGACCTGTTAGTTCCCTAGGGGAGGGCAGCAGGAGAAGGATGTGGTGCAGTTTTCCCTGCCAGAGCCTCAGTGACAGGTGGGGGGAGGGGCGGGTGTGTGTCCCTGCCAGAGCATGGGTGTGTGTGTGTATGCTGTGCGCTCTGTCTGTATGCACTGAGCAGTGGGAGGCTACGTGTGTTTGTGTACCTGTGTGTGTGTGTGTGTTTGCTGACTGTGTTGTAGAGCAAGCCTGTGCCTGTCCATTACACACACGTTTGTTATGACTGTGAGAGTGCATGAGGGTGTGTCTTTGAGCTGTGTGTGTGTGTGTGTGTGTGTGTGTGCGTGCGCATGCTTATGTCCGTGTGTGCCAGGGTGCTGCCTGTGGATGTGTGTCCACTGTATCCTGCCATATTGACTCTTAGGTATGTGTGTGCATGTGAGTGTGTATGTGTGCATATTTGTACCTGCATGTGCACCTGTTCACACCTGTAGTGGTGATCAAGAATGGCCCTTTCCCATGCAGCGAGAATGGAGTGGGGACAAGGGCTGCTGTTGGACCTCTCCCCACCTCCCTGTGCCTTCAATCCATCCTTGTCCCTAAATAACCCCTGTTCTTCCTCCTTCTCCTTCCAAGAGGCCTGAGTTCCCCTCCCTGAGGGTGGGGAGGGAGCTACAGGGGACCCAAGGCTGTGTGCAAGTGACAGTCCTTACCTTGAGGGTGGGGCCCTGACTTCCCTTCGGGTGCCACAGGGAGCTGTTGGCTCCCTCAACTTCTAAAAGGGCGTGCTCTCTCCTCTCAGGGCCCCAGGCAGGACAACAGGAAACAGGGGTCACTTGGGGGCATAATATTTTTCTTCCCAGATCCTCATGAAAGTAACACCCAGGGTTGGGGCCCCTAGGCCTCTGTCACCCATGGGGGCCAGGTCCCAGAGGTTCAGAGGCACTAGTCAGCTTCCTACTCTGTGCCTCTGCTTTCCTGCCCCCTAACTCCCTGGCAGCTCACCCTCTGCTCCCCTTCCTCTCTTGCAGGCCTGCCTGAAGAGCATGCAGCCCCCTCACTCCCCGCCTGGCCTCACCATCCCTGCCCCCCCAGCCTGACCCCCAGCCCCAGCATGGCCCAGGGTGCCATGCGCTTCTGCTCGGAAGGCGACTGTGCCATTTCCCCACCACGATGTCCTCGCCGTTGGCTCCCCGAAGGCCCCGTGCCCCAGAGCCCCCCAGCCAGCATGTACGGCAGCACAGGCTCCCTGCTTCGGCGAGTAGCAGGTCCAGGGCCCCGAGGCCGGGACCTGGGCCGTGTGACAGCACCCTGCACTCCTCTGCGCGGGCCCTCCTCCCCCCGCGCAGCTCCCTCCCCCTGGCCACCTTCTTCCCCTACTGGGCAGCCTCCCGCTGGGACCCGGAGCTCCGTGGTCATCTTCCGCTTTGTGGAGAAGGCCAGTGTGAGGCCGCTGAATGGTCTCCCTGCTCCTGGAGGCTTGAGTCGAAGCTGGGACCTGGGGGGTGTCTCTCCGCCCATGCCCACCCCAGGCCTCAGGCCTGGGTCCAACCGGAAGTTGCGACTGGAGGCCTCGACATCAGATCCCCTCCCAGCAGGCCAAGGCTCAGGCCTGCCTGGCAACCGGGACCCTTTCCGGGGGCCACCAGTCCCACCCCAGGTTGGAGCAGATGGCCTCTACTCCTCTCTCCCCAATGGCCTTGGGGGGGCCCCTGAGCGCCTGGCCAAGCTCCTCCGAGGAACTGCTGACACCGGATTCCTGAGCCAGGTATACACCCTCTCTGGACTAGACCAAGGGCTGTCCTTGCCCCTTCCCCCCTCCCGAATTGGGCCTGCTGCACTCTGAAACCTTCCAGTGGTCCTAACTCGTCTTTTCCCCTGTGTCTGCACCTCCACCTATGCCCTTGTGTGTCTTAATTTCTATCCTACGCTCTGTTTCTGTCTGGTTTTATCTTTCTCTGGGTGCTTTCTCTCTTGCTCTGTCTCTCCCTCATTGGCTCAGGGGGACACTTGGTCCTCTCCCTGGGAAGTCTCCTCTCACGCCCAGAGAATCGCTCGAGCCAAGTGGGAATTCTTCTATGGCTCCTTGGACCCCCCCAGCTCAGGTAAGGCTGGGGCTGAAGTGAGATGCACAGGGGTGGAGAGGGTGGGGGAGGGATTGGGCCACCTCTCTTCCCCGCCCCCCCTGCAGCTAAGCCTTAGGAGGGAGCTTGCCCTTCAACCTTCCCCGGGCTGCTGGGCTCCCCACCCAGCTAATAGCCTGGTAGGCCTCATGCTCTCTCTTGAAGTTATGGTGCAGGCTGGGCCTAGGCTGTGCCCCCAGAGGAAGCTGGCAGTGGGTGCGGGGGTCTTTCCTTCCTTAGAGTAGCAAAGGGGCTGGTTTCCCACAGGCTCCTCAGAGCTATTTGACATGAACTCAGTTAGAAGCGAGCTCCAGAGGCCCAAGGCACAAGTGAACTTCCTAGTGGGAGGAATGGTGGCTAGACCATGAAAGAACTTCCTGTCAGCTTGAGCAGAGCAGGATCAGGATGGGGACTAACCCCACTGACCTGACCTGGGTGCCTATGCATATATACTACAGGTGCTAAGCCCCCAGAGCAGGCCCCGCCGTCCCCAGCCGGAGCGGGCTCAGGGAAGGGCTCTGGGGTGGCTGTGGGGCAAGCAGCCAAGTACTCTGAGACGGATCTGGACACGGTGCCCCTGAGGTGCTACCGCGAGACCAACATTGATGAGGTGCTGGCCGAGCGCGAGGAGGCCGACTCAGCCATCGAGAGTCAGCCCAGCTCCGAGCGCCTGCCTGGCACTACCCGCCCACCTGCCCCACGTCCTGGCCCATGCCTCGGCCCTCCTTCCAGTTTGGGCAGTGGCGATGAGGACGAGGATGAGGCAGGCGCAGAAGAGGATGTGGACGATGAGGTGTTTGAGGCCTCAGAGGGGGCCCGGTGAGTAGGAGAAGGTGCAAGATGATGGTTTGCTCCTTGCCACCGGCCCAGAGGCAGCACTGGGGTCAAAAGGGGCTGAGAAAAGGATGAAGGTGGAGCAAGTGGCGCAGACAGTGTCGAGGTGGAGGGCAGGAGTTCAGGACAGAGTCCTCAGGCCTGGTGGGGAGCTGTAGGGAAACCTGCCAGTATGCAGCGGGGTAGAGGAGGCAGCCAGGATAGGGGAGGGCTTCACACAGAGCAGGGGGGGCGGGTCAGAGGCTAGAATGGGTCCCTGGTAAGAGAGCCGATAGTAGACTTTCTGTCTCACACCCTCCCCCCACCCGCAGCGTGGAGCCTCATCTCCTAAGATGTTACCAGAAATAGAAATGAGATGGCATGAGGGAAGCGGATCAGGGGAAAGGAGGAGAAAGGGAGATTAGCAGGGCGGGGCTGGAGGGAAAGAGGGAATTTGGGTGCTGAGGACAGGTGGGGCTGGGGTCCAGGGCAGGGTAGGAGGCACTGACTGTTGGGCTGTTTTGGTAAGGGGTTAGGAGCCTGGGAATGGGGACTTGGAGGCAATGAAATCCCACATCAGGCCTGTGCTCTGGATCCCTGACGGAGGTTCTCTCTGCCCCCACAGGCCAGGGAGCCGGATGCCTCACTCCGGGCCTCTCAAATCACCGGTGCCCTTTCTTCCTGGGACCAGCCCCTCAGCGGACGGGCCTGACTCTTTTAGTTGTGTGTTTGAAGCCATCTTGGAGTCCCACCGGGCCAAAGGCACCTCCTACACCAGCCTGGCCTCGCTGGAGGCCCTGGCCTCACCTGGCCCAACCCAGAGCCCCTTCTTCACCTTTGACCTGCCTCCCCAACCCCCTGCCCCGCGGCCTGATCCCCCTGCTCGGGCCCCGCTTGCCCTCCTTGAACCTGATTCTGGTACCAACTCTGCTGCGGATGGTCCCTGGATGCAGAGAGGGGAGGAAGAGGAGGAGGAGGCAGAGCCAGGAATGAAGCCTGTCCCAGGCAGGGAGCCCCCTAGTCCCTGCCACTCGGAGGACAGCCTTGGTCTGGGGGCAGCACCCCTGGGCAGGTGAGTAATTCCTTAAGGCCCCAGGCACAGCTGATTGAAGGGACAGCTGCTCCGGCTAGTGAAACTTCTGTTTATATTCCTGATCCCTGAGGAGGGGTAGCCAGGGTATACACATGTCTGCTCTGCTACTAGAGGACAGCTTCCATTGGCTGTGAGGTCCTAGATTTACGGATAGGAGAAACCAGGATTCAGGATTCCCCAGAGAACAACCTCTTTTCTATCCTGGAGAGTTCTTGGCTCACCAGGCAGTCTCCAATCTGCTTGGAATCCTCATGGTACTACCCCTTCCCAGCTCGCAGCCAGCAACCTCCACCATCACCCCCTGGCATGGCAACCCCCACACCCTGTCAGGCGTGTCTCACCCTGCTCCAGGAAGTCCTTTCACAAGCTAACCTTTCTGCTCTGCTCACTGCTCAGCTACCCTCTCAGTCACGGAAGCCATGGCAACAGGAGGGGGTGGCCAGGGAGACTGGGTTGCCTAGCAACCAGGAGTTTCCGGCCTCTGTCTCTGGGGTGACAGGTGGCTTTAGGAGTAGAGCAACTGGGGCGGGAAGGGAAGGATAGAAGAAAGGGAATTAGGGGTACAGCCTGACCCCCATCCTTGTGGTCTCAGTCTACTGCTTTGTGAGTAGATGGAAGCAGCAAGGGGAGATTTCATTCCCTGGTGGGCAGGCGCAGGGAAGAGCCAGAAGCAGGAGGGGTTCACTGTTGCCTTCCATGGCTCCTTCCAGCACCCTGTCCACCCCACCCCTGTCCAGTGTGAGGATGGGGACTCCGTATATAGCAGCAAACTGAGGAGCCTGGGGGAGGCAGCCAACACAACCACAGCAGTAGTGTGGGATGTGGGTTAGATTTAAAGCAGGACTTCCACAGGGAATGGGCTAATGAGGAGAACCTATATAGTCTCTTTCTCTGAAGAAAAAAAAAAAAAAGATGTTCTGCCCCATGTCCCTCTACCCACTTCTCTGTCTGAGGGTCTGAAGACACAAAGAGGGCCTGGGTGGGCTTTGGGGGCCTGCCCATTCTGTGAGCTGGTGTTCCACCCTGGCAGTGAAACGCCTCTCAACCCGCTGGTGTCTGACTCGGACTCAGAGCTGGATAGCACCGAGCGGCTGGCCCTGGGGAGCACAGATACCCTGTCCAATGGGCAGAAGGCGGATCTGGAGGCCGCACAGCGCCTTGCCAAGAGGCTGTACCGACTCGATGGCTTCAGGAAGGCCGACGTGGCCCGGCACCTCGGCAAGAAGTAAAGCCACCCCCACCAGGCTGGCCCACGGGAGGGGGTGGTGGGATGCATCCTGGTGGCACCTCCATATCCTCTCCATCCAGGGTCCCCATGTCTCTAGGTAACCCTTCCACCTGACCCCCTGATGTTTCCCTGGGAGACCCCACCTGTCTCTCTGCCCCACCCATAGCAATGACTTCAGCAAACTGGTGGCTGGGGAGTACCTCAAGTTCTTTGTCTTCACGGGCATGACTCTGGATCAAGCTCTCAGGTGGGTGGTCACCACCCCTACTCTCCAGGCTTGGCCATGCCTCCTTTAAGCTCCTGTGTCTACCTTGACACCACACCTCCCTCCCCTAAGCTGGCCAGCATGGGCATGGGCGAGAACCCAGGGCGGCTCAGAAAGGGCACCTTGGATGGGGGTGACATGCTCTTCCTCCTTCCCCAGGGTGTTTCTGAAAGAGCTGGCTTTAATGGGTGAGACCCAGGAACGGGAGCGGGTGCTGGCCCACTTCTCCCAGCGATACTTCCAGTGCAACCCTGAAGCCCTGTCCTCCGAGGGTGAGGAGGCCGCAAGCAGGGCTGCCTCAGCTGGGTCACTAAGGCAGACGGGTCGGGCAGAGGAGTATGAGCATGTTGCAAGCATGTATACATGCATGTGTGCAGGGAGTGTGAACCTGGCGGCATGCAAGCAGGCCCAGACTGTGCTATGAAGCCACAGCTGTCCACACACATGTGCAGGACAAGGCCTGGCTTCTTTGGGGATGGCTTGCATTCAGGGCAGACAGGGATGTAAATGTTGGGGGCAGACAATGGACAGCTCCCAGCATCTTAGGGAACCAGGGAATGAGATGAGGGAGGGGTCCACAATGAGATCTTTGCTTGCCAAGATGTAAGGCTTGGAAAGGGGTTGCTGGGACCGAAGGGAGTTTAAGAGGGCATGGCACCTGAGTAGGGCAGGTGCAGTGGCCAGGCTGAAAGTTGGCTTTTCACTAGACGGCGCCCACACGCTGACCTGTGCCCTCATGCTCCTCAACACGGACCTCCACGGCCACGTGAGTGGGGGTGGACAGGTGGGCGCTGGGAAAACACCCCGGGTCTGGAGACTTCAAGGCCCCCCAAGCTCACCGGCCTCTGTTCCCGCCCTCAGAACATCGGGAAGCGCATGACCTGTGGAGACTTCATCGGCAACTTGGAGGGTCTCAACGATGGTGGTGACTTCCCCAGGGAATTGCTCAAGGTGGGGGGCGGCGCAGATGGCAGCTGCGGGAGGGAAGGTCGCCAGAGTCCTGGGGCGGGCAGCGGCTCCCGGGGATGGGGGAGGGGCGGGTGGGGCGCGCCGGCCCCCCCATGCTCGTGACTCAGCCCGGGGACCGCCCCCTCTCCCTGCCCCCCATGCGCGGCGCTCCCGGAGCCTGCGCACGCGCGTGCAGTGCCGGTGGCGGCGACGCGCGGGGAGGGGCAGGGGAGCAGAACCCGCGCCCCCGGGGCCCGCGGCGGCCTCAGCTTGCCCTGCGGCCGGTTCAAGTGGCCCAGCGCAGCCCGCCAGGGGCGGACAGCCACAAAGACCTCCTGCGCAGAGGAAGAGGGAAGGGACAAAGGCTCTTCCAGAGGCTTACGGCCGGTTAGCACAGAGCTGGACCCAGAGCCAGCGTGGCGGGTCCAGCGTAGGCAGGGCACGCGCTCAGGAGCCAGTGCCCAGCCCGCAGGCAGTAGATACACGCGCACCGGTGCTGGGCAGACGGGCTCACCGGTGCTTCCTCCAGATCCATAGCGTTTTACTTGGGGAGGTCTGGAGTTTCTTGAACCGCCGCCCCCCCCCCGGGTTGAGCACAATGGTCTCCATGCAACCCCACGTGTCCCCGGGCGGGTATGAGGCGTGTGTGTGTGTGTGTGTGTGTGTGTGTGTGTGTGTGTGGAGGGGGGGTGCACCAACGTGAACTGTGAGGTCCGGGGCCGCGAGCCGGGCTGTGTCCTGAAAAGGAGTTTGTGCCGCGCTGGGCTCTGGGAGATTTAAGACTGGCGACAGCACCGGGCACTGTGATGGGACGGACAGCTTTGAATTGGCTAGCTGTTGGATGGCATAAGCCCGCGAATGTAGGGGTGTATGTTTGTTGAGTTAAAGGTTGTAAAGTGTGAGGTAGGTGTGCATCCTTGATCTGTAGGATCTGTGAGTTGGGGAGAATGGATGGTGGCACCTACTTAGTTGGGGCGTATTTCTAAATGGGGTATATTGCACATGGGCTTTTCAGGATACCTGCGGCTGGGCTCCTGGGGCCAGAGCTAGTCCGTGGCTGTGTCCTCAGTGAAAAGGAGCAGCAGGGGAGTCGGTCCGATCCTTCCTCTTGCTCTCCATCCCCTTCTACCCTGACAAGTCAGGGGCCAGCGTCTGGCCCCGGGAGTGGGGGGCAGCCCCCGCCCCGCCCCGTGGCTGCGCACCCAGGGCCCCCTGGCGGCCGCGCGCGCCTCCGTGGTGCGCGGTCCCCGCCCCCAGCCCGCGCCCTCCCCTCGCGCCGAGCCGCAGAGTCGACCGCGCCACCGCTGTCGCCACCGCGCGCTCTGTGCGTCGGTGGGAGCCGGCCGCGCCGGGCCGCGCCGCTCGCGCCGGCTGTCGGGGGAGCCGTCCACGGGCCGTCCTGGGCGGTCCGGGGGCGGAGGGCGGGTGGGGGGCATGGCCGGGGGCCACGGCGCGCCGGCCGGGCCAGCATGATCGGTGTCAACAGCATCCACAGCAGCGCCGGGCGGCTGCGCTCGCGCTCGCTGTGCTCCGTGCGCTACGGGCGCACCCACCGCGGCGCCGAGACCCTGTGCTACGGCTGGCCGCAGCGCTCGCGCAGCCTCAAGCCCGTGCTTTACACCGACCTAGTGGTCAGTCGCCTGCAGAGCCGCAAGAAGAAAAAGGCGGTGAGGGTGTGGGGGCCGCTGCCCACGCCGAGCTTGGGGACCGCGGGAGGGAGGCATGGGGAGGGGCGCGAGCCGGGGGAGGGGGTCCATCAGGGGGGGTGAGAGCGAGCTTAGCAGGGACAGAGTTCATAGGCCAAGGAGATGGGCATGGACTGACCAGGGCTAGGAGGGCAGAGACCCTGGGACCGAGATGGGCCTCACCAACCAAAGGGTCTGGGGGAGAAAGAGGGCTTCCTAGCCAGGAGCATGACTTGGGGCTCGTGGGTGGGGTCCCAGGGCCTTGGAAGGAAGGTGTAGCTGTGGGCCAGAGGAGGGCCTGAGCCTGGGCAGGGAGGCAGCAGCAGGCTGGAGCTGGGGTGTGCAGGGTGGCTCGGTGGCCACTCCAGGCTCTTGGCGAGAGTTGGGTGGTAAGGGTTCAGGGTTCCAGGGGTGGCTAGGTTTGGCCGGGTGTGTGCTGGGAAGCTGTTGTGATTAGCATGGGTTTATGCTGTGCGGGGGCTGGAGGCTGCCGGCTGTACCCGCCCCCAGACAGGGTGTGCACAATGGCAAGCCTAGCTAACCTTGTGCCCGGGCATGGCTGTGTGCACAGGGTGAGCTGGTGGTCGCAGTGTGTTAGGGAACATGGGGGTGCTGTGTCCCATCACAGGGAAGGCACCGACGTCACCACTGCACCCGGCTCACACGCAGGCAGCATCACACGCCACACACAGCCTGGCAACACACATGCCGGGGACACACCCACTCACAGACCGGCTGTCAGAAGCACCCCCACAGCCAGAGGCATTGCCATGGACCTGTGTTCCAGACCATGCCTGGAAAAGAAGGGTCCCTGATACCCACCGCCCATTCTCTGTTCCCAGCACCTCACAACCCTAAGTGTACCCCAGGCTGACTGTCTTCAGAGACAAGATTGGTGCAGGAGGCTTGGGAAGTGTGGGGCTGGTAGACCCTGGGAGGGAGAGCTACCAGCTCTGACTTGGGGTGCTGTTGTGGTGGGCTTCTTCCTGAGAGTGACCCCTGCCCCTTTCTATTCCTCTCCCTCTCACCAGGCCTTATACAGCTCCATCAAGAATGAGAAGTTGCAGTGGGCTATGTGAGTCCTGGGCCTGTGTTGAGGGGCTAGGGGTAAGGTGGGGGTGAGGGAGGGGTTGCTTGGAATGGCCCCTGGGAGTCCCCGGGCTGTGGGGGCAGGAGAGTGGGTGAGACTGCCTTACATCCTTACTTGGTGATGCTTGCCTGCGCTTGGGGCTGTGTTTTGTCTCTGGCGGTTGTTATGACAAGCTGGGCTGGGACTGGGGTGGGGATGCCCCCGGCAGCTCTCATGGGAGAAGCAGAAGTTTCTGGAAGTAAGGCTGTGATCAGTGGTACAGGGGCCCCCTCAGGTCCTAGAGCTCTCAGAAGCGACAGAATGATTTGCTGTGTTCTGCCCTTGACAGCGCATGGTAGAAGCAGGGAGGCTCAAAATGAGTCTCATAGGAATCCAGTCTGAAGAGAGGTGGCAGTTTGCCTGTCTTCTTGAGGGCAGACCTTACCCTTAGGCATCCACAGCTGGCTTGGGTTGCAGGTACCTGCTGAGGTATTTGTGTGGGGTGGCCAGAAGCGCCCAGGCATTAGACGAGGAGACCTCAGGAGGATGCAGAGGCCAGGGTTTGGGTGCAGGGGATCAGGGAAGGTTAGTTGGAATTCTAGGACTGAGACAAATCTTGTAGAAGTGGAGGAACTGGGGAGAAGTATAAACTGACCAGCACGAGTATGGGTTGGGAGAGCTGGAGGAAGCAGGCTCGGCTGGAATGGAGGATGGGAAGATGAAGGCTTTGTTGGGGATATAGGGTAAGGTGCAGGTGGAAGGCAATAGGAAGGTACTGCAAGTTCTTTTGTTTATTCTTAAAATGAAAGTCACAGAGGAGGGGAGCAAGAGCACACACTTCTGTCTCCTGCTTCACTTTCGAAATGGCAACAACCAGGGCTGAGCCAGGAGCTTCTTCCAGATCTTCCAGGTGGCTGCAGGGGCCCAAAGACTTGGGCCATTTCCACTGCTTTCTCTGGGCATTAGTAGAGAGCTGGATGGGAACTGCAGCAGCCAGGACTCAAACAGGTACCCATGTGGGATGCTGGCATCACAGGTTGAGGCCTAGGCCAGAGCTAGCCACTACAAGTCCTTGAGCAGGTGAGCTACAATGTAGAACCCAGTGTATTTTGTTTTTAGCCTGGTATCAGGGTCTGGAAACCAGGATACACTGAGGGTAGCACTAGGAAGCTACATTTTTCTGGTGCCACAAGGAGCAAAACCTGCCTGGGGCTGGGTGTGGCTGAGGCAGAGTTAAATTCAATCAGAAGTGTGTGAAAGTCAGGGTTGTGTGCAGAGGTGGAAAGGATGGGGCTCCTTATGCTGGAGGGGAGAGGCAGTTGTGGTTCCACCTGGCAGGGCTCTAACCTGAGGGAAGGGGCATGATGCTTTGAGGAGCAGTGCTGGAAAGGGTAAGACCCAATGTAAGGTGGGAGACATGGCAGAAGCCTTGGATCAAGGGAGTTCCCAGTCACTGCCCCAGACACCCCTGCTGAGGAGCCCTGGGCAGTGGGCTGAGGGATCCAGGGGCAGCCCCCTCTTATGCCATCTCACCTGCAGAGACGAGGAGGAGCTGAGACGCTCTCTGTCTGAGTTGGCTGACCCCAACCCCAAGGTCATCAAGAGGGTGAGCGGGGGCAGTGGCAGCAGCTCCAGCCCTTTCCTGGATCTGACTCCCGAGCCCGGGGCTGCCGTCTACAAGCACGGGGCCCTGGTGCGCAAGGTGCACGCAGACCCTGACTGCAGGAAAAGTACGTGGCCCTTGTGGGGAGCAGGCTGGGGATCAGGGTGACTGGGAGGGAGCTGTCCCATGCCTCCTGACCTGACTCCTCCCTTCTAGCACCTCGAGGCAAGCGGGGCTGGAAGAGCTTCCACGGAATCCTCAAGGGCATGATCCTCTACCTGCAGAAGGTGCGGGGCGGGGCTGCGGGCCCACAGCTGGGGAGGGGATGGGCTGGAGGAGCCAGGAACAAATGGGCACCCCACCCCCCGCAGGAGGAGTACCAGCCTGGGAAAGCCCTTTCGGAGGTGGAGCTCAAGAATGCCATCAGCATCCACCATGCCCTGGCCACCCGTGCCAGCGACTATAGCAAGAGACCCCATGTCTTCTACCTACGCACAGCAGACTGGCGAGTCTTCCTCTTCCAGGCCCCGTGCGTGCCCTCCTCCTGCCCAGCCCTGCTCCCACCTCCCTATACCCTGCTTCCTTCCTCCATTCTGTTCCTCTTGCTCAGGACAGGCCCCCCCAGAATACCTGTCCCAAGGCCTGGGCTTTCTCCCCAGGAGCCTGGAGCAGATGCAGTCCTGGATCACCCGCATCAATGTGGTGGCTGCCATGTTCTCCGCCCCGCCCTTCCCAGCTGCTGTGAGCTCCCAGAAAAAGTTCAGCCGCCCCCTGCTACCCAGTGCTGCCACCCGCCTCTCCCAGGTAACCCCAGTTGGTGGCAGAGGGACAGGATGGGCGGGTCCTGTGTGTTCAGTACCTTTTACAACACTGATATGTAAGCAGTATGGGCCATAAGGACCCTGAACTTGCTCCCCGTTTGCTGCTAGGAGGAGCAGGTGCGGACCCATGAGGCCAAGCTGAAGGCCATGGCCAGCGAACTACGGGAGCACCGGGCTGCCCAACAAGGCAAGAAAGCCCGTGGCAAGGAGGCTGAAGAACTGAGGCAGAAGGAGGCCTATCTGGAGTTTGAGGTGAGCCTGCTGGGCACCTCTGCTACCCATAAGCTCAGATCAGGAAGAGGTGTGAGCCCAGGAGTGGAACTAGCTAGGTGGCCTTGTGCGGGCTGCCCAATTCCCCAGAGTGCAGTTTCCTTACCTGTAGAACAAGGCTGGCATTTCACACCCACGAGGGTCCCAGAGTGAGAGATCCACCGGAAACAGTAGCCCTGGGAGTCCTTAAGGGGTCTCCAACTTGCTAGAGGGTCAGCTCTTGGGCATTTGGGCCACCCAGAGTTGGGCAGGTATCTGCTCTCCAGCCTTCCTGGTATCCCTCGCTGGTCCAGAGGGAGAGGGACGGACAGGTATGGAGAGCAGACCCTCACGGCTTCCACCCCTCTGCCCAGAAATCCCGCTACAGCACCTACGCCGCGCTGCTTCGGATCAAGCTGAAGGCAGCGGGCCAAGAGCTGGATGCGGTTGAGGCAGCACTGGCCCAGGCCGGGGGTGCTGAAGATGGGCTTGCTCCTTCTCACTCCAGTCCCTCCCTGCAGCCTCACCCTCCAAGCCAGCCCCGGGGTCCGCGTACAGGCTCTGAGCCCCGGGCAGGGGTGGGTAGCGGGAGGTGGAAGTCCTGAGCTGGGGTGGGTGCACCAGGGGCGGTGCCTGTGGGCGCCTGCATGATGACAAAGTCCTGCCTGAGCCCGGGCCGGCCTCGGGCCACCTGTGAGGGCCTCCTGGCCCAGGGCCCGACCGCGCCGGACGCGGTGTCCGGGGCAGGGCAGAGCTGGGGCGCGGGCCTCAGGAGCCAAGGCTTGAGGGGCCCCTCCAAATCTCCTTTTTGTGATAATGTTTTGCACTTTTTCGTACAGGGTGGGTGGGGGTGGGAAGGGCCAGCGCCCCTAAACTTTTGATGCTGTTTTTTTTTTTTTTGGTGGGGGAGGCCTGACGAGGGTTCGCTTTCTGTTGAGACCCCTCAATCCTGACACCAGCAGTCTCCTTCCATCCTGGAGTCTGGTTCAGACAGGGGCCAGGAACTGGGGCGAGGCTGCTTTCCCTTCCCTCCTTCCCAAGGGTCACCCTGTGTGTAGGGTACCCACATAAGGCCCTGTTCCTGGGTTGGGCAGCCCAGCCTGCTTCCTCTCCATGTGGGCCCTGCCTATTATGTTCTGCCTCCACCCCCATTAAAACTGCTCGGAATTGCTGGCTGGGCTGCTACTGCCTCTTGTCTGCAGTGCCTGGCTTAGGGCCCAGGCAAATCACTGATTTTGGGGTTCATGGGTGGAGACCACCAAGACTTGGGTAGGGAACCCTTCCTTTCCCATGAGAATCCTTTATTTGCCCTAACTTAGGCATACAGGCTTGGGGTGTTAAATAAGACTTGGAATGGGGAGCTGTACAGAGGGCTGGCGTATAGGGGGCAGGTCAATGGACTTGTGGCTGGGGGTGCCCATGGCAGAGACCTCCTGGCGGCTCCGGAGGCAGACCCAACTCCTCCGCCTCCTGCCCCACCGACTGGCTCCCATATGCGCTGTCTTCCTTCACCTCTGCCAGGGGTGATAAGAAAGGGGCATGTCAGGGCCTTGGCATACCCCTTCCCCCTGAGCCAGCCCTACCTGCCAAGGTTGCACTCCTTTTACCTGTACTGGGCAGTTTGTCCCGGGTTTCAGGACCCCTTAGCAGCCTCACTCCTTCCTCCAGGCCCATGGCGGACAGGGCCTCCAGCAGACCCGCCAAGTCCCCACCGGCAAGCTGTGGACAAGGAAGGGACATGAGGCGGTTGTGGGGTTGGAGCTGTGGGGCTGGGCTGGGAGCTGACAACAGCAACAGACCTTGTAGCTACGAAGCAGGCTTCCGCTGGGGGAAGGTGTCTTCCTGTATGTGTCCACCAGGCTGCGTAGCCCCAGCCGCTCGGCCAGTTCCGCCCAGCTGCCCTGGGCCTCGGGACTGTCCAGCAGCTGCTCCAGGTTCTGCAGTGTCGTGTCCCCAAGGGACAGCCCTGGCCCTGAGGGACACACACACATCAGTTAGTAGGGCAGAGGTCCAGACACAGGTACCTGGACCATGCTTCTCTGCCAGTGAGCACATGGCTAAGGCTAACAGGACCACTGGGGGTCATGAATGAGACCTCACCTGCAGGGCTCGGGGGGCTCCGGGGGGGCTCGGCCATGCTCTGAGCAGCATTGAGCAGCAGGGTTTTCACCTGGGGGCACAGTGCAGGCAACTTCCCATCTTGTCCATTTGCCCAGGGCCTCACTCCCTACTGCTGCTAGCTTCCACTGGCCTCACCTTGGTGCTGCGCGTGAGGTCCAGTGGTGTGTGGCCCCGGAAGCTGCTGTGGGTATCCCTCTCTGGCTCCTCAGAATCCGTGTCACTCCCCGAGCTGGGAGGGGAGGGCAATGGGAATAGGGGCTCCTCGTTTTCCGCATAGATGTCCGCTCCTGAGGGAGGCAGTAATTAAGGGGGTGCTGGGGGATCACGTGGGGGAGCCAGGAGGTACCCCTCCTCTACCCCTATTCTGATGTCCATTAGAGCAAAACTGACCAGCCTTTAGGAGGAGGCGGGTGAGGGTGGGGGATCCCAGTCCTGCTGCGAGGTGTAGTGGCGTGTTCCCCGCGAAAGTACGAGCATTCACATTGGCGTGGAGCTGTGGAGGCAGGAGGTGGCTGACCACGACACAGTCCATAGGCCGCCTCCCCTACCCACCTCCCCACTTTCCATGTCCCACCCTTCCCAGTCCTCATCCCACCTTCGTGACCAGGTGGGTAACCAAGCCCAACTCTTCCAGCTCTGTGGCCAGGTGCAGGGCCGTGCGGCCCCCCTGCCGCTCTGCTGCCTCCACTTCAGCCCCACTATCCACCAGCAGATCCAGGCACTTAGTGCTTCGGGCATGGACTGCCAGGTGGAGTGGGTACAACCCTAGAGATAGGAGACACTTGGTTTATAGCTAGGACTGCAAAATGGTTTCCTAACCGGTCCTGACCAGTCCCCGCCTTGATGTATCACTCTGTGCACCCCCTAGTACCCGGTCTGATCCCCATCCTGGGGTAGGGACCTCACCCTCAAAGTCAGGCATATGCAGCAGCTGGGCCATGGCGGGAGCTCCACTGCACAGTAGCGCATGCAGGAGGTCGGCGGCGCTGGCGCCTGCCCGCAGTGCCAGGTGCACAGCTGAGTCCCCGTGCCGATCCAGCAGTGCCGGGTCCGCACCCACCTGCAGCAAGACTCTCACCACCCTCGTCTGCCCGGTGATCACCGCCAGGTGCAAGGGAGTCTGCGGACAAAGGCGAGGTAAGCTAGGCCTGCCCTGGTCTAGACCCTTTTGCTTTCTAACCCCTGTCCCTGCCCGCTCACCAACAGGTATCCCTCACCTGGTGTAGGTGGTTGGTGAGGTTGACGATCCCCAGGTGTTGGGCATGGTAGATGACATGGGCTATTTGCTCAATGACACTGGTCTGCCCGTGGATGATGGCCAAGTGCAGCGGCCTAGGGGTTAGAGAGTAAGACTCTGGCCCAGCAAGCCCAGCCAGCTGGAGCATCTGCCATCCTCATCCCTCTCCTCCTGGGGCCTGTGGAACCCAGAATGTCCTCAACGGCACGCATTTTTGTTTTTAAATAAGCTTGTCTTTAAAAAATTATTTGAGAAGCAGAGAGAAATTGTGCATACATGGGTTCACCCCCTAAATGTCCACAAAAGCCAAGGCTTGGCTAGCTGAAACCAGGAACCTGGGACCCACTATGCCTCTTCTAGATTGGTGGCAGGGGCCAAGGAGTACTACACCAGCAGGAGGTTGGATCAGAAACGCAAACCCAGGGATGTGGGCATCCTAAGCTGAACCATAACCACTGCCCCAAATGCTGTCCCCCACCTGAAACTTAGAACGGTCATCAGGAATGGGCATTAGGGAGCAGGGTGTTAGGCTGCTCCTTGGGGTGCCTGCCTACACCCCATGTTGGGGTGCCAATTTGAGTCTGGGATACTCTGCTTCCTTCCCAGCTTCCTGCTAATGCACCTAGGAGGCAACAGATGGTGGTCCAAGTGCTTGGGTCCCTGCAATCCACGTGGGAAACTCAAATGGAGTTCTAGGCTCCTGGCCAGCTCTGGCTGTTGCAGACATTTGGAGAGTGAGCAAGATCTGTTACTGTGCTTTTCAAATGAGTATATTTTAAAATTAATTGAGAGGCAGAGAGAGAGAAACAACAGTGAGTGCCTGTCTTCCAGCCAGATGTCTGCAAGGATCCTAGGCTGGGAAACAGCCAGGAACCAGGAACTCTGTCCTGGTCTCCCGTGTGAATGACAGGTTCCCAGTAATTTGGTTTTTTACCTGCTGCCACCCAAAATGTGCATTAACAGGATGGTTATTTTGGGGTGGTGGGACTAGACTGACGCACGTGCATACATGCTGCCTTCTGCTGTACTACTGTGCCCTCTTAGCTAAACTGCAGTTTGGAGAACCTTGGTAACGGAGAACAAGTCAATCTGGATTTGAGACCCGGCCTGTCCACCCCCGAGTCCGCCTCTCTATGGGTCCTTTTCTTGTCCCTGCCCCACGAACTTTCACAGGGCACCATTCAGAAGACCCCAGCCCAGGCCAGTCTCCCCTGCCTACGTGTCTCCATTCTCGTCCTGTGCCGTCAGCAGGTGGAGCTGTCCCACCAGCAGTGCGCGTGCATCTGCCGTGATGCCGTAGTCCAGCAAGGCTCGGGCGCTGCGCTGGGCCAGGCCGAACATACGTGCATTATATTCCCGTGCTGGGGGCGACAGGGGGATGCCAGCGCATGGGTACAGGTTCACCTCCTAGCAACCGCGCCCCGACTATTCCAGGTACTAAGGCCATACCTCGTTGCAGCACTTCGGGGGCCTGTGGTTCACTCGGCTCCACCAAGGGCTCAGCAGCATCTGTGCTGGGTGCTGAGGCTGCCATCTGTGCCCCGCCCCCGCCTCCAGGGTAGCAGCCCATTGGGGCTGAGCCTGCCTGGTAGGGACTGTAGGCCAAGGAGGAGGGGAAAAAGCCGAGGCTGCCACCTGTGGATGAAGGCAGGATTCACCCAGAGTTCTCCAGCAACGACTTCCCTGCCTTCCTCTCCTTATCCCCCTTCCAGCCACCAGCACTCACCTCCCCCTCCAGCTCCTCCGTAGCCCCCAGCCGCGCCACCAGAGCCTCCACCCATGTGCGAGCCGCCACCAAAGGGCTGGGAAAAGGCCGGCAGGGTCTTCCTCCTCTTGCGCTGCACCTCCTCCTTGTCTTCAAGTGCAGGGATCAGGATGTGACTGCCCTGCCCGGGGCCCTCCCCACCCCCTGCTCTGGTTCTGAGGACCCTCTGGCCTGCTCACCTTCCACCAGGGGGTAGTAGGTGAACTGTTTGGAGTCAGAGACATCCCCTCCACGCTTGCGCTTCAGCTGCAGGAACACAGTCACGGGCCGCTCAATCTTCATCTTGTGATAGGGGGGTGTCCGGAATACAATGGCATACTGGAGAGGGGGGAGCAGAGGGTCAGTGTGGGCTGTTTAACCCAACCCCCGCCAGGGCCCTGGTCCCCTGGGCACCTGCTTATGAACATCCGTTGGAGAGAAGTCCCCAAAGGCCTGCCATCCATTCTCATCATCCTCATAGAAGCGGACCTCAATGTCATCTATGAGAGAAGCTCCCGGTTATCCCAGTCACCCGGCCACAGCCCCTGGGGGGCTCTCCAGGACCACTTACTTTGGGGCAGCTTGCACCCCCCCTGGTTTCTCTGCATACCTCTGGCTCCGGGCCTGGCCCCAGGCTCACCTTTCTGCACCTTGTCACAGAGCAGGTAGACTTCGTCTCCGCCCCGCACAGAGCCTGCTGTCTTGTCCATGCGTGAGATCTTCAGGTTGGATGCGCCAGGTGACTCTGTGAGGGCGGCATGTGTCTCACTGAGATGCCAGGCCAGCTGGGGTGACAGTTTGCACAACCAGGTACTCCCCACAAGGGTCGTTCAGAAAGTTCCAGGAGAAATGGAAGTGAAAGCCAAGGCATTTTTTTTTTTTTGCTTGGTGCCGATATTTTGAAATCTACACTTATTGGGGGAGGGTTTGAAACAGTTCATGGAACTTGTGTATTACAAAAAAAAAATCTTGCATGAATTGCAAATATTTCTTTAAATAAACTTGTCATCTAATTCCACTTCCATGACCTTTCTGAAATAGGCAAATTCATGATGTCAACACCCCCAGC